TCTAAATATCTCAAAATTCATGGCTCTGCTCCTCACCTGAGAAGTCTTTTTAGCTCAATGGTGTACGATGTGAGTCCCAAAACTACCCAGGCCAAAAAATTCAATGCACACTTTCATTCTTTCACCTCAATGTCTTGCACATCTTTTTCATTTCTCTGTCATTTTCCACACCAAATGAAAATGACTTTTCACTTCACTCTTACAGAGTGATCAAAGACTAATCTATGTGCCATGCATCATGAGGATAATCCCCCCCGCCCAAAAACTGTCTTTATTTTATGGCCAATACTATGTCCACACATAATATCGTGTGTGCGTGTGTGTACAATTAATTAATTACCCCCAACAATCTTGAACAATAGCTTCGATACCACCAAATTTTTTGAACATATTTCTATACATTATTTGATTTTAATATACATATCATATATGTTTTGATGCATGTCACAAATTTGTTGTATGCATCTTATGTTTATATTATGGGTTCTTATATTTTGTTTAATTTCAGGCTAAAAATTAAAAATTCTTCACACTTCTTCCTTGGATAATAATCCTTTTTTTCTTCACTTGTCTCACACCACTTCAATTGCCTTTGCCTTCACTTGTCTCACACCACTTCAATTGCCTTTGCGTCTTTTTTCACACTGCTTTTTGCTGTTATTTATAGGATTAAAAGGTTATTGAGACTTTTAATCGTAGAATGTGTGATTTAAAAATTAACAATATAACATATGTTAACGATTTCTTTCCCATTAATTCTTTGTTTGAGGTTTGAGAAATCTCCTATTGAAATATTTATTGCTCAAAAGTACTTAAAATCTGTCTAAGAGCTCGTGTCTACTTCAACAAGTATAACTCTTTTTCAACTGTATGTGCAACTTATATTCAACTATATGTAAAATAGAAGAATTTTAATATAGATGAAGATATATTCCACACAATTAAAGAACGGTTACATTGTCTCAATTCAAATCTTCTTGAGGGGGGAAAAACTTTTAAATAGAGACTTTTGAACAATTTTTCCTAATTATATTTGTTTTTATATGTTTATGCACATGAAATTATGGATTTTGCTATAGGATTCTAAAAATGGAGAGGATATTTTGCAAGAAAATTAACATTTGAACAGATGTCTTCTCGTCAGATATTTGACGAAAGGAGAGATAAAAAAAATTTGATCCACTCATGATGAACATGACCATCATGTCAAAAATCGAAAAGCACAATGCGGAATCAGCAAGAAACTAGAGGAGCGAGGGATCAAGTTGTTGACAATATATATTGTTCAGTTTTCAAATTAAATATTCATCATAATTGTTTTTTATTAATAATTTTATAACTTAAGGATGTTATATAATAACGTGTACAATTATATAAAATTTTCCCCCAAAAAAAAAATCACAATGTGAAACCTTGTATCCAATCTATTGAGAAAACATTATAAATAATATATAATTTGTACATGTCCACATTGAGTTGTTAATTATGCACTCATCCAATCTATTGACAAGTTGACTAGGCCAAATAACAAGTTATGAAAAGCAATTTATATGAAGTTCATTTTTTGTGCTTAAATGACGTTATTTCCACATTTTATTGGCAAATGACAAGTTGATTCAGCCAAACGACAAGTTATAAAAAGCAATTTATATGAAGCTTATTTTTTATGTTCAAATGACATTAGTTTCAGATTTCTTTCGCGATTGACAAGTTGAGTAAGCCAAATAACAAGTTATAAAAAGCAATTTATATGAAGTTTATTTTTTGTGTTCAAATGACATTATTTTCATATTTCTTTGGCAAATGACAAGTTGAGTAAGCCAAACAATAAGTTATGACAAGTAATTTATATGAAATTTTTTTTTTGTTCAAATGACATTATTTTCAAATTTTATTGCTAAATGACAAGTTGAGTAAGTCAAATAATAAGTTATGAAAAAATTTTATATGAAGTTCATTTTTTTTGTGTTCAAATGATAATATTTCCAGATTTTTTTGGCCAATGACAAGTTGAGTAAGCCAAATAACAAGTTATCAAAAGCAATTAACAATAGTGAAAAGCCAAATAACAACTGTGATAAGTGAAATCATAAGTCTGTGAATGAGTTCGTCATAAATTTCAGAACACTAAATGGATTTATATTGATACTATTTACAACTGATAAATACTTAATGTTAACATTGCTCTGCCCATAAACAAAATACCAATATTTTCATATTGTCATGTCATGTTGCTGCGATCAAACTAATCAATCTTCAATTACATTACCATAAAAAATTACAATAATAGTAAGCCAAATAACAAAAAAACCATAGGTGCTTTAACAGCACCCAAATATTGCAATCAGCTTCAATATAATTTTGTTCAATCAAATGAATCATTTACATAGAGAAATCAACACCAACAACCTCTTCTCTTTCCGCCTTGACGTTAGGGTTTTACAACTTTAACATTCAAAATGATAAGATCCTGATTCCCTCCCTCCACTACACCACTTGAGGCTTCACACTCAAAGTAACAACCATTACATCCATCCATTTTTCCTCCTACACTCTGTCATTCGTGACATACCTCACCCCTATCCATTGCAACTAACCCTACCAAAATCGGAGTTTAACAATCTAACTACAAAATCAAAAATATCAACCTCCAACTAATCAAAACCTCCTCAAACTACCATCTTCCATCATCAACTTCACCTCTCACTCATTCTATACCCATAACCCAGCAACCCACAATACAACTCACCACGTTGAAGAACAAAATCACATTCCTCGATCTTTGTAGGTAGAGAAGAAGAAGAGTTTAGTTAGAAGCACTACTCACTTGATTCTCAAGTTTGTGCAATGCAGATATTGTCTAATCTTCTTTTTCTAAAAGCTCTCCCGCCAATCTCTAGCTTCATTATTGAATCTGAGTAACTAAGGGGTATTTTAGTCTTAGGCATAATTTGCTCATTACAATTTAAGACCTGGTCTCTCCATACAATTTAACTTCTTCAAGTGTGCGTCTCGTAATTTTAATAACTGATGGGTCTTTTATTACCATTTCCCTATATTTTACTAGAAATACAAATACCAACGCTCGATCATTTGTCTTTGGTCCAGCCCACCGACCTAATCTGGCCAGTACACCCAACGCAATGCCGAACCCAATCAAGCAATCCAATTAGACCACATCTTTTCCCCTTTTTTTTTTCAAAAGGAAAGTACCAAAAACAAAAAGGAGAAAAAAAAAATACATCCAAGTCATTATGACTTAACTGAATAACATAGAGATGATGGAGAGCGGAAGGGTTTAATTCCTGTCGATGTGGAATAATTCTTCTCAATATGGTGAATCAAAGTTCAATTCTCACTGGGAGGAGTGCCCGTAATCTCTGGATTGCAAGCCCGTTTCTGGACAGACTACTGGGCGGGAGAGTTGGGGCCACTGCACAACTTTCCATACGGGCCAATTCCTGATGAAGAACTTCCTTGACGGATATGGGAATTGGAAAGGGGGTGAGTTAAAGCAATTGCTGCCACAAAAAACATACCGGGCCTGCATTCGGTGCTCATCACTTGATGAGCACCCAATGCTCATCAAGTGATGAGAAATCTGGACCGTCCAGATTTGATCTGGACGGTCCAGATTTAATATTTTTAAATAATTATTTTAAAATAGAAAAAATTATTTTTTAAAAGTATGATAGTTAAGAAATTATCTTTATTTTTTATTCTATACCTATTAAAATAATTATTTTTAAAAATAAAAATAAAAATAAAATAAAATCTGGACCGTCCAGATCGGATCTGGACGGTCCAGATCCTGATGAGCACCCAATGCAAATCCAAAACATACCGCCACAGATTGCACAAGTCCCAACGACCTCGAATGCTGCACATAGGTGTGTTCGGCATCTTATGATGAAAACCCAGACTGGGACCTTGTATGGAAATGGCCGGAATCTCATAGTGCCAAGCCACCTCCAAGAGCACTTCTATAATTGCCCCTTTGATACTTGGCTCAAAAAGAACCTTCGCTCCAGGAACCCGAACCCTCCACTGTTAGAGCACAGGAGTCCTATACAGGACGATACGCATAGGCTGATCCCTGTTTCTCTTCGCTTTTGTTTTGACTCTTTTTGTAATGACTCTTTAGTGCATATTTTCTAATTAATGAAATTCCTATTCACTCAGGGGGGATAAAGTCCCCAGGGGCCTACCATCACAGGACATCTAAACAGGTCACAGAACAGAAGGCAACACATAAAGGGCCTGTTTGGGATCACGTTTGGGCCTCCAAACGTGCATCCCCAACGGAGAAGCAACAGGCAAGCTGAAAATGGGTGTTTGGGAGCACGTTCACGCAATCTGACTTCTGCCACCCAAATGCACTTCTGCCATAAGTTGAAAGAAGTTACTTTTCGGTGAGAGTGTGCGTTGCAGAATACCGTTAGAGGATTAGGTGTTAATTTATTAATTTTGTGCGGCACACGTAGCCCAACATCTTAATATTAACATACTAATGTTAGTGGACTCTTTCTCTAATATATTACAGGCGTAACTTCATGAATTTTGCGACAAATATCAAATGTCTTTGAGGGTGAGAAGGCAAGGCCAAAGAAGCAACTAAATTAAATTTCCTTATTTTTAATAATTTTATTTTCATTACTTCTTTAAAAATGATCACATTATATATATAATTTCTTTCTAATAATAAATTAAATTTCTTTACTTTTAATAATTTTATTTTCCTTACTTCTTAAAAAAGTCACATTATATATATCTAATATTAGATATGTACTATTTAATAAAATTTATGTCTTTTTAAGTCATTTTATATCTAAATTTACTTTTATCATCCAAACAAGTTTTAGCTTCTCAAACTGACTTTTTTACAAAACCCAATCCAAACACAAATCACTTTACACTATCTAACTTTTACTCAATCTGACTTCTGTAAAAATCATATTGGAAAAAAATTACTTCTGCCACCGCTATCCCAAACACACCCAAAGCAAGCTAAAAATCTACGTCTCTATTCATGAATATCATCATAATGAGATCCATATTACAGACACTATCCTGTTCATGTATTTGACAAAAGGAAAAGCAAAGAGTCTTTGCCTCGCCTCCTAACTTACCCAAAAAAGACAGTACATGAGCAGAACATTCATTCATACCACTTACTACGAGAAATAGGCTGCACTACAAACTATCTTTGATCTGCTAGCAACATAAAGAATACCCATATCCCAATCACTGTTCTTTCCAAATTCTCCCCGTAACTCTTAGCTTCAATTCCTTCCTGTCTCCCCCGGAAAAGAAGAGGGCCATGTTCCTTTGGATGATAAGCCCGTCAAAACTGTCACGAACTTTGCGGTGGCTGTCCCTGATGCTTCTAGGCACGCCCTGCCATGTCATCTTCCTCCCATTACCACCAACCTCGAGACTGTAGCTATAGTTCTTTGCATCATTATCATCACCCATAAATCGCAAGAAGGCTATGTAGACTGGAGCCATCCCCAGCTGAAAAGCTTCGAAGTGTAGACAAAAATATTGACCAAAGCAACTGAAGACCTATAAAACCAAGGTGAAATCCAACATTCAATTAACACAAACTTTACACAATAATAAATGCGCCAATCCAAGTATCAATTTATAAAGTGCATCAATAATGCACTTGTACAGGAACCTCGGATTTTAATTTCTTAGGAAGCTAAAATTTATTACACCTTAATTTTACAATGTTATGGCAATTCCACATAATGGGTGTTAATTTACCAAGTGCTAGAAAGGTGCAAGGCTAATTATCTCAATTCTTTTTTTATCACCAATTAAGACAAGTGCACATCCAACCACAAAGGAAAATTACACAACTCATCGTTATGCTCGTGAACTTACAAGGCCAACAGAAGGCAGGGCTAGGGAAGAACAGACTTGGAGTTGGGAAAGAATACTGTACCGTAAGCATCCACGTGGCGTTTTCAACTTCTTGTGGGTTTGATTTGACATAACGATGATTAAAAGTGCTCCCATTATGCATGTCCACTTTGTGATCATCTTTCAAATGGGCCACCAGAAAAGGAATATCACCAATGACACTGCATTCTGAACCAGCATATGGACAGTTATATGGTCTATATGCACATTGAGATTCATGCTTCAGCTTGCAGTAATAAGGATATATGCCCATGCACCCAAAGGCCTGGTATTTACAGGGAAGTTCCAAAGATGCAGCCACCTTCTCCAATGCCAAGCATCTAATATTGCCGAGCTCATGTCTACAGGTAGGACACCGGTTGTGGACCCTGGGTTTGCAACCTGAACACAAAGTATGGCCATTTGAACACTGCAACAAGGAAGATTTTTTACAAGTTATTAGTAAACTTCCTTAAAAAGAAAATCTTTTCTTGGGCATAGGTATTTGACAGAAAGCTGTCAACAATCAAAAATTAGCAGAACTACCATGTAAACAGAAAAATAAACAAGCTCAGTCTCTTCAAGTTTAGGAAACTCAGATGTTCATAGAGACATCAGTGAACCAGCAATCCGCAAACCCCAACAAAGAAAATGATTACAAAGAAGTTTGCATTCAAGAAGGTAAGGATTCTTTATCATGACCAAAATATTCAACATACAACAGTAGTCATGTTCTATATTAAAATATAAACAATGGAAGTATTTTACTTTCAATGACTAGCACATTTAAAAGGCATTAGATATCACTTTTCAAAATGAAGACCACCCCAAGTCTGATCATTCATTCGTGTACGATCCCCCTTTCAGAAATAATTTTATCCAGCCAATACTGCAGTCCCAACAAAACAGGATTTCTGATTTAGAAAAATAAAGAACACTTTTGTCCAGTGAACTATAGAATGGATACTTTTACAATCATGTGTTGCTCATGATTATAAAATGCCTCAAAAACAGTTTGAGTTTAGTTTAGGCTACGCATTCCCTTTTTAATCTGGTTTTTTCTTGTACACAATTTTTTAAATTTGAGAAGAACGGATGTAGTAATTCTCTCGAACCAACATTTTTAAATTGCAATCACATACTATATATAGAATTCAAGATATCAACAATGAACATCAATTGTATAGACAACCTGGTGGATTGGAGGGTACATTGCATTCAAACACACGGGACACTCTAAAAGTTCATGAACACTGCTTGTAACAGCCACATTAGATTTTAGTGCAGTTTGTGCAGGATCATTCACAAGCTCAATGATATCCATTGGCTCTTCATTTGAAGGAGGATCAACATCAGATTTGCTTTGTATATCATCAAAGAATGGATTGCTAGAAGCCATGCCAGTACAGGCAACCACCAGGCCTACGTTGAAAAAAAGAAACAAAAGTAAAAGGAAATTAGTGATTCAACCAAAATCCATATAACCTTCATCCTCATCCTCATCCTCGTTAAAATTAATATCCTAACACAAGCTGGGTCCATGACTCATAAGCAAAACAACATTCATCACAAGGCATAAGCCAGTAGCATATTCTGTCAACATTTTTGTGCCTCCAAGCAAAATTATTTTCACAAGAAAAGCCTGAACCATCAATAATCCTAAGGCTATCCCAGAAATGGAACCAAGGATACATCATTAACTAGGGACATCGATAACCGTTAGATCTAGTTGTGAAACACATTTAACCAGCTCTTAGTATAGACTAATAACTTTTTACATTATTCAACAGTCTTTCCTTCTATCAGCCATTCAAAAGTTCTCCACAATTTTCAACTTTTACTACCAAACCTGAGGAATTTTGGCAGTGTATTGCAATATATCCTTCTTCCAGGGGAAGAGGAATCAACCAAACAGTACCAATTCAAAATGCAATCATACAAAAGAAAGTCAGAGTTCAATTTTATAATTTCCAATATTTATTGCCAAAAGCAGTGATTAATGGAGTTAAATCACACACAATAACACAAGCACTTCAAAAAGTTGTCCAACACCCATCAAAACTCAAGTCCCATGCCAAGTTTCAATTTCAAATTCTAAATTCCTAGCATACATGTTCAATACAAAAAAGCATTCTTCAGGTCAGAAAAGCATCATCAAACTATTACTACAAATCCAAAGTGTATGAATACTAAAAAGAACTCATAGAGTAAACATAGAGTACGTATTTGGTCCAGGGGTGCAACAAAAACACAAACAGGCCAGAAATAAATTTAGTAGTGTACTAGTGACTTCATATCTCCCATAAATCAGCACAAAAGAGATAATTTTTTAATTGTGATGACACAACAAGACATGTGAATCGGAACACATTATCATGCAGATTAGCAAAAACAGGTGAGGACACCATCACAGCAATGTAAATACCGTTTGGAAAAACATGACATGGTCTCTATCCATGTCCTTATGCAATTACAGAAAAGATATTGCATGGAGAGGTGTAAAGCAAGAAGAACCCCTCTCTCAGATGCATAGAAAATTTCAAACTGTAGTCTAAAGCCCAAACAAGCTAAGTTTAGGAATCGAAACTACAAATCATGATATTCTGACAAAGGAGTAGTGAGCGAAACGACCAGCACTCATCAATTTCACAATGGCTATGGGGAAAAAAAACGCACACTTTAAATCATTGCAGCCAGTCAAATAATAAAACACTGTGGCAATCCATTTCATGAAAAAGCACGTACACAATGAAGACCACACAATCGTCCTAAAATGCATGAACACAACCGGTTCCGTCAAATTGAAGTGGCAAAGACAAAAGCAGCCATATAGATGAACATTGACCGAATCGCGCTCCACCAGACGTTCAATTTACCAAGCAAACAAAAAACGTAATAGAAGCGATGAAGTAGATTAAACTGCTTCAAAAGAACAAACTGTTCTAACCAATCACATGCCAGACTTAAACCCTAACCTTGTAGCCAAAAATGCACAGTAATTCCGACCAAACCAGCAACAGATCTACGAAATAGAAATTCAAAACCGGAACAAATCAAGCAGGGGTAGAAGAACAAAATAAAATGAAAAATAAAAGGAAACTCGTAACCACCGGAAATCAGAGAAAGGCCTCATCAAGAACCAAAGACAGGAAAACGAGGTGGGGAACAGAAGCGCGCCTGGAATATACGAGAGAGGCAGAAGAGACAAATACCTAAAATGATGACTTGATCAAAAGGCCATTGCAGAGAGAATATGAAACGAAACGCAGGAGATTGGGTGAAGAGAGACAACGAAAAAGAAAGGAGCGAAGTTGGTAGACGACCCCGCGGCCTTTGTATGAGGAGACACTGTAATAATTAATAAGAGCAGGCACGAGTGCGCGTTCCGAGTGGGAGAAGAACTTCAAATTAAAGAGAAAGAAGAGAGAGAGGGGAGCGTATGAAAGAGGCGAAGGAGGAGAGAGGCTTTTCTCGAGAAAATAAAAGAGAAAAACGGCTGCTTGCGCTTTTTATGTTCAAACTTCAAAACAAGGTTTATGCAAGAAAATTAAACTCAGTCAAGTCATCGCATTCACATTTTAATGCCGTCTAATATTCAACTAAGCATAATAAATAAATATAAAAGTGTGGTCAGAAAATAAATTAGAATCTGATATTTTAGTGATTCAGTACTCTATTAAATATATTAAATAAGAAAATAAAATATTAATAAAATTAGAAAATTAATTATGAAAAATAAGGATAATGATAGTAAGAAGTAAAAAAGGTATAAATATTTATAATTTAAAGTAAAAATAATCATGAGATTGAAAATATATAACATATAATTATTAATACAGATTTATCTTAATTTTAAAAATAATATAAGCATGTTATAATTTACGATAAAATTATTTTTAAAAAAATAAAAATTATTTATTAGCATAGAGTATAGATAATAAAAAATTTCACTTAAAAAATAATAAAATTTTCGTAATAAAAAATGAAAATAAGAATGAGATTCAAAATATATTATATAAAATTGTTAATAATGATTAATATTACATTAATATTAGATTTTCAAAAAAAAGAAATTAATTAAAGAACAATAAATTTAAAATAATTCAAAAAACTGAAAATATTCAATTAATCTAATATTTTAAGAAAAATTAATGAAAAGCAAACAATTAGTATGAGTTGATCAATCGTATTTAATTTTAGGAAATTATAGGTCACCTTTCAATATTATAAAATTAAATTTCTGAAATTTGACTACAAAGAAGAAGACAACAGCAACATTAGCTGGTGGACCCACTCTTGAATATTTTTCAATGGAAAAAGAAAATATCTTATTAAGCTCATTGGTGTAGAGGGTGACTTTTATCTTCCTAGCTCATTTTAAATTTGAAACTCATTTGCGGTAGTAAAAAAATTTTGAAAACTCACTGGATTCAAATGTCAAAGAGAAAAATAAAGTACAATCCCATTCTTTACCCTAAACAATAAAAGCACAATAAATAATGTTAACTTTTGAATAATATTTAAATAACTACTCATCTTCCTTGTTTTAAGAAGAGAGAGGTAATAATTAAAAAAAAGGGAAATGGAAAAAAATTCAAGAGCCATTATTAAAAACCCAATAAAACGAGCCCACACTACTATTTTTGTTGCCAGTGTTGTATGCTGGTCACTAATGTTTGGACTGTTCTAGTGGGTCCCGCTCCGATCCGTCCTACCGGGATGAGGTCATCTCAAAATTTGTTGAGATGAGATGAAAAAGAGACCGATAGCTCAATGCTGTTCAAGTTAGGTTATTTGGTAATGCAGTTTCAATCCGGTAAATTTCATCCAAAGCTCAATGCTGGTGAGAGACCGATAGCAAAAAAATACCACGAGAAAAAAATAAAAAGGACTTTGAAAAAAAAAGTCAAAGAATACTTGAAATTATCATAAAAGAAGCAGATGGGGGGCTAGCGATACGTCCCAGTCTTGTCTTAAATATGATTATTTTTAAATATAATTACTCCTCCGGTCCTTAATATAGGACCCAATTCTTGAGTTGGTTTTGGTCCTAAATATAAGACTCATTTCTCATATTTATCAATTTTCTCTAAATTACCCTTATAGATACTCCCTCAACCATAATCAAGTAGAAGAGGGAGATGGGGTATTAAGAAAGATGATTATGGTGTTTTAGGAAAAACATGTCACTTTTCTTATAATTAACTAACTTACCTAACTTCCTTAATCTAATCAAATTAGTTAAATAGGTCTTATATTAAGGACTGGAGGAGTATTAATTTATTTTTAAACACATTGTCCCACCACAAAAATAACTCAGAAATGCATTATCCCCTGCTCGCAGTTGCCTCTTTTAGGCTAATCACTCTTCCTCCTGGATGCCCACAATCTTGCTCCTGTCTCAGTCCTCTATGCTTATGATATGGCACCTCAACGAAAGGCAGAGGCGACTCTCTCCATGGGTGGCTTTAATGTCTCCTGGTGATTGATTAATCATTTTTTGCCTCACACCTTTCTCTCCTCACTCTAATTACTCTCCTTAATTTCTTTCTTCTCTTCTCATCTTTACCTCTTTCGCATTTCGCAAAAAGCAAAGCTTCTCGCTATTTCTTTTCCTTTATGGGTTTTTGGTTTCGTTTCGCATTAAAAAAAGAGGCAAAGCTTTGGATGTGTGAGTTTACTTTTGTGCTTCACATGGTGGCTAAAATCTGTGCATTATCTTATTTTGAAACTTATCAATTTGCCTTCAACAATTGATTTTGTTGAAAATTCGTTTTTTAATTGTATGTTTAGCATGGGTTTATTTTATTATTGAGAATACGGTGACTATCTATCCAAATAAGTTTTCATGTCCAATTTTTTCTTAAAAAATATTCTACACCGGTCTTATCTTATCTTGTTCAGGATCAAGACGCCCTCGAAATAAAAATAGGATGGGACACACCCGTCTCTGACATGACCAAGACTGACCTATCTCAATTTCATCTTATGTCATCAGCACCCCTAACTAATGTATTAAGTTTTGAATTTGTTAAAAGTTTGTTTATTGAAAGTATATTTGTCAAAATGAAATGTGATAAAAGAATTAATTATTGCAATGGGATTCATGTTCTAATGGCAACTTAAAAAAATTAAAAGGTATCATCATCTTACTAAATCTCACATGGACTAAGCGAAATGAGGCTCTTCACACAAGATTCATCAACAAACCAAAACAAATACTCCTTCGGTCCTTAATATAAGACCCATTTGACTAATTTGATTAGATTAAGGAAGTTAGGTAAGTTAGTTAATTATAAGAAATGTGACATGTTTTTCCTAAAACACCATGATCATCTTTTTTAATACCTTTCTCCCTTTTCTACTTGATTATAGTTTAGAGAATATCTATAGGGGTAATTTAGAGAAAATTGATAAATATGAGAAATAGGTCTTATATTTAAAACCAAAACCAACTCAACAATTGGGTCCTATATTAAGGATCGGAGGAGTACCTCGCAAAGATTTGTCAATGGCAAAGGTTTTCTTTCAATTCTAATTCAATAAATACAATCTATACCTCTATATAATCAAGATGTGATATTCACAACATTCTTACGTCAGAACAAGGCTTGACTATTTACATGAGAAATGTTAAAATCCGAAGGCATACATCTTGTGTTGTTACAATTTTCTTTGATCATGATAAAATTCAGACACTCATATGGATGAAACGACCTTCTAATTCTCATACTCTATGCATCTCTTGTTTGAGATTGATCCTGTTCTAGATTACTCAAGTTGCTCTAACATTCTCTGCACCCCTGAACTACATCAATATCGTTATGTGCAAGAATATTTTGCTTTATAGCCTTCTTATCCATTCTAATTATAATAGCATCTAGGAAAGGATGTCAACTTTCTGCTTAAACCTTTTTCCACTCATTCATCCACAAAATTGATGTTTTATTCATTCCCCAATCGTCTATATTCAGAATACCTACTTTAGTCGTATGACCTTTTTTTTAAAAATATATATATATAATATGTCTCTTTATTAAAAGAAACTCAAGAGTAACTCTCTTCCCCCCACCCCGAAAAAAAAAAGTCCAAGAGTAACCCCTAGACTTATAGGTCCGTTTAACAACCTTTGAAAATGGTCCTTTATAACTAAACGGTGATTTGGGCAAATGAGGTTTATGGTAAATGCATTTCTTAGTTAGAAGTTACTCCCTCCATCTTTTTTTATAATCAATAACTACCATCCTCCTCTTATCTCTAAATATAAGTAACATTTGCAAATTTTTTGTAGCAAATTTTCTATTTTATCCCAATTAATTATTGATTTTAATACCTAGTATATTTATTATCTTATTTCCTAAATTATCATCTATCTCCATCATATATTCTCTCTCTTTCATAATATTTTTATTATAATAATTTTTTTATCATCTTTCTTATGCTCTTTCCTCTTATAAATAAGAGTATTTTGGGGAAAAAATCCTGATTTTTATCTATTTATTATCTTTAACTAATTTTTTTATCTACGTAATAGAGTCTAAAGTTATTTATAAAAAGTGACAGAGAGAGTATATGCAAAGACCCACTAAACAGTGTATGTTTTTATATTGGTACTATAATTTTAGTTAGTCTCTTTTATACTGTAAGTGACTTTTTTTAGTGAATAATATAACTCACTTTAACAAATTCATTAGAAACAATAAATAATAATTAACTCATTAAATCTGTCTCAAATTAAAATATTTTTTCAATTTTACCTATATTAAATGACCTGATGAGGATGTGAAAAAGGAAAAATATAAGGAGTCGCATTAAATATTAATTTCAGGGACAGCATTGACAAATAAGTATCAATTATTCTTCAAATGACTTTTATTTTGAGCTGATCCACTCTTTTAAAAACGACTTATATTGTGAATATGAGGTAGTACAGTATTCCCTTTATTTTCTAACATAAAAACTAGTTAATAGGTTGGATTTGGTTTTAAATATAATATATATTAATTAATTTTATCTCTTATATTTATTATCTTTTTTCAAACTAATTTTCTTAACTTATAAGCTAACATATAAATCATTTTATATAAATCATGTTGCATTTGTTATAATTAGCTTATTTATTTGACTTATTTAATTTATCCAAATTAATTAAGTAGCTATTATATTAAGAACCTAATGAAGTAACATGCCATGAATGATGATAATTTCAATTTAAATTAAGATGTTTATATTTTATTACTTCTGATTCTTAATATAAAAACTAGTTAAAAGTAAAATTTAGTTTTACATATAGAATTTTAATCTATGTTGTTTCTCATACTTATATATTTTTTCCATATTGTTCATATTAATGCACATGTCAAGAGAGTTTATATTAAGAGACAATTTCAGTGCAAATAATTTAAGATGCTATTTTAAAGAATGTAAC